CTCACCAACAGGGAAAGGGGACAAGGTAGGACTGGTGGACTGACTTAAGACTTTGAAGAACAAAGCACAAGAGAAAATGCCATTGGGGGTAGGTGTCCAAATTCTAGAATCCGCCCTAGTGGGGTCTAAGACAACATTAAGAAGTGCAAGAAGGCTCGAAATACAATGCAAGAAGACTTGAAAATCCTTAACAATTTTTGGAACTTCTTCCCTGGAATGCATAGGACGTATCCTTGTGTATGTAGAGAAATCGTCAATAAAACTAATAAATTACTTATAGCCTTCCTCAAAAGTCATAGAAGTAGGGTCCCACACATTAGAATAAACAATATGAGAAAGAAAGTGTGATATTTTATTATTTGAATGAAATGATGTTCTACAATGTTTTCTTAGTTGACATGTTTAACACTAAACAAAAATGGATTTAAACAATTCTGGAAATAAGATTTTCAAGGACTCAAGAAGATAAGTGACAAAGGTGGTTATGCTACAAATAAACTTAACTCTTATTGGATTGATTCACTAACCAACTCAACAAACCACTTGACTCAAAGCTGATAAAAACACTTGACTCAAATGTTGCAAAATCTGCTTTATTCTCTGGTACATAGACACTATTGACCATCTTCTACCAATCATTTTCTCAAAGGTCAAATCCCGGTACACACAAGAATGAAGACAAAAGGTCACACAACAATTCAAAGATTTTGTAATACTACTGATAGACAATAAATTGATAGGTAATTTAGGAACATGAAGGACATCAATAAGAGCTAGTTCATGAGGAAGTGATATAGATCCTTGACTAACAATGGTTTAAAAGGACCTATTTGCTAGTCTCACTTTATCCCTACTAAAGAGAAGACTATAAGAATGGAACAAATTAGACTTACTAGTCATGTGGTTAGAGGGCTTGGAGTTATTGATCCAAGAAGATTCAAGAACATGGATGGACATGTGGAAAGTAGAGGCAATGTTACTTAATGTACACACAAAGGAGGTAGGAGTAGAGGCCTCACCATCCATCTGATGAAGTGCCATGCCATACAACTCTAGATGGTCTCTGAAAGAGTTTTATGGTATCCTCCTCCTTTGGATCAAAACTGGTAGGATGCTCCTGAGATGCACCAATAGTGTGTACACCACTATAAGTTCGAGAGCATTTCGGGAGCACCCTACTAGTTCTAACAGTGTGTACACTCACATCTGTGTGCAATTCTAGATGGTCTCTAAAAGAGTTTGTGATATCCTCTTTTGGGACTCTCACACTCACACGTGTGTCTAAGGCACTAATAGTGTGTACACCACAACTTATCTTTCTCATCACCATCTATCTTTTTAGTAGGTTCACCCTTTTTAGGGCTGTCAACAGGTCAGGTCTGCCTGATAAATCAGAACTGACCTAACTAATTATAACAGTTCTGGTTCCATGATTTTGTCCCGATTAATAATTGGGTAGGCTCCGGTTCTTGCTTGGCCCGAACCAATTATTTTATTAAGTATATATACATAGTATTTTCTTAATTTTATTATAATTTTTTTATCATATTTTTATGTTTGAAATGGTAAATTTGATAGATAATAAATGAGATAATATTAGTTAAAAATGTTCAATTTATTAACATTATAAATAATTTAGTATTTCTCTATCATTTTTATTAAGGTTATATTATCAAAAATTAAATTTTAAGTTATTATTTAAATCAACAAATACAGTTTTCAGTATAATTGGGTCTGGACCCGATAGACCTGACTATTAACTAGGATGGTTTTGGGTTTATTATTTTTTCCCAATTAATAATCTATTAGAGACTGGTTCTACCTAGACTCGACCCGTTGGCAGCCCTAACCCTTTTTTGCTCCACTACTACCTCCCTTTGTAGGTAGAGCAATCTGCCACCTCCCCCCGAAAGAAGTATTCATAGCAATCCTCCTGCTCTCCTTTGACTGAACCAAAACATACACTTCCTAAACCTATGGTAATTTTCAACTCCTCAAGATGAAGACTCTAATGGGTATTGGGTTCGTATATTGGATTCAGACTCAATAGGAAGACAAAGACTCTTTGTTATGAAACCAGTTTCTTGTAAGCTTTGGCATCCTCCTTATCCTTCCAGTCAATACTCTGGTAGTGGACTAACTCTTTCCACACCAAGGTAAGAGCAGAATAATAAGCTGAGAGACTCCTATCTCCTTGCTTACAAGCTGAAGATTTAGCCTGTAGCTGGTACGTTTTGGCATAATGCCTCTGTACGTAGGTTTCCTTCACTTTCTCCCACATTTCATAAGCAGTGTTTGCTCACATCAAATTCTTCCTCAAATGTGGCTGCATCTAGGCAATGATACAGGACATAATCAAACTATTTTCCTGGTCCGATTTATCATGCTCTATAGTTCCAGCCTTAGGCTCTTTAATTCTATCATTAACATAACCAGCCTTCCCCTTCCTCCAATGTACAACCTAATATTCTTGAGCCATTCCAAGTTTAATCCATCCAAAGGGGTGATAGCCATAGGGAAATTCGTGCTTTCATGCCACCATTCATCATTGACTGTGAATATGTAATTCTAGAAGTAGCCAAATCCTCATTGGCCATGAAGAATAACTTCTAGACCCCTTTTTCTTCCTTTTTTTTCAAGGGAAACTGCACTCCAAAATACATGAGAACCAAGCTATAGCAGTTCCAAGACCAAAACAGGCCCAAAAGAAACAGAAAGAAATCACACTAACTTCTATCCAACAATGAAAGGCTGCTCAAAAACATTGAACCTTCACATTCACCACAGAACTGGTCAACAATGGCCACACAGCCTTCAAAGAATCACCATAAACACTCATTTTTCACAAACACACATTCAATAATAAGAAAAAAATGACATACTGACTTAGACCTGGCTGTAGACAATCCATAAAACTCATGGAAGACAGATCACCCTCTAGACTTCCAGCACAGCACTCAGCCACCAAACAAGAATCTTCCTTGGCACTACGACCAAGTATAAAGAAGAAAGAGAAAAAGTAGCTCTTCAGGTCATACCAGAAAAGGATTTTTCCAGTCTTTGACCAAAAAAGGTAAGTTTCTGATGTAGAACACGAATTGTTCTGCTTCTGGCACCCAGAAAAGTGCTCTAATATCATATTATTCAAGCAAAATTTAAAAGGTGTGGGAGGCATGTGCATTCCAGAGGCATTGGCCTCTGAGGCATGGGCCTTGGGTGCATGAAGTGTGCTAGAGGTGTATGGTTCATGCAAAATGAAAGAAAGAAAGCAAGAAAGAAAGAGAAGAAAAAAAGAAAAGGAAAGAAAGGAAAGGAAAGGAAAGGGAAGAGAAGAGAAGTGAAAGAAAAAAAAAAGAAAGGGAAGGGACAAAAAAAAAGATGAAATCCTCCTCCTCTTCTTAAGGAGGCATACACCTCCATGTGCTCAGGAGGCTTACACCTCTTACGTTCTGAACTACACCTCACACTTCCAGGTGGTAGAATACCCAGAGCCATGCCTCCACATTTTAAAACATTGTATTCAAGTAAAAGTGGGAAGAAAACAGAGAGAAGAGAGAAGAAGATGAGAGAAAAATATTTCGAGGCTCAACAACCTAGGCTGGCGGTGCCTAGCATATTCTATATAGCCTAGGCTGGTGGTGCCTAGCATATTCTATATATTAGAGCAGCAGTACATAAAGTATAAAAAGAATAAAGTGCCCTTGCAACACAAATAGCATAATCACAAAATATTATTATGGTCTGCATCTTGCTTTAATAACTTCAAAGTTTGCTTAAGCAATAGAAAAATGTTATAATAAAAACCAGTGAAATTAATCATTCTTATTATTTCCTTGTTGTGTTCTACTATTCTAATTGTGCTCTTTGGTGATCCACTCCCTTTTTGGTCATGAGTTTTTTCTTTATTTTATACTGACATGATTTTTTTTTCATTTTTCTTATTATGGAGGTTACCTGCCAGTCTGCCAAAAGCAGATAAAGTTCTTGTAGTTGAAAGAGTAATTGAGTCATTGGGGCTACAGGCCGTACGGGATTCCCTGGTGGGAACAGTAGAAAAGAGAGGAATTTCTGGAGGTCAAAGAAAACGAGTAAATGTTGGGCTGGAGATGGTCATGGAACCTTCCCTCTTAATACTAGATGAGCCTACATCTGGTTTAGACAGTTCATCATCTCAGTTGCTGCTTAGAGCACTTCGGCGCGAGGCTCTTGAAGGTGTCAACATCTGCATGGTTGTTCACCAACCAAGGTAAGTTTTAATATATCAAAGAAACTATATAAATCATAAAAAAAAGTAGATAAATAAAGTCTGATCTTTCTTGTTGTTCATTAGTATTCTGTCTCCTTTATGTCTTGTAAGACCATTAAGCAAATAAAATATTACCAATTCAACAGGCTAGGAAGCCTTCCGTTTTTTTTTTCTTTTAAAAATTTTAAAGGTGTAAAATGTTTGCTTTATCCTGTTACCAATAAAAACTTGAAGCTGTTTATTATTTTAATTAGTTTTGATTGTAGAAGTTCTAGACTCAGCTAAATCCCCCTTTCATTTTATTTCTTTCTGAGTCAGTTGAAGGTTTTCTGGGTAGCTGGTATATTAAAGGTTTAAACATGAAAAGAAGAGTTTTCTAGGCATCAGTTCCTTTGGTGGTACTGTGGTCAGTGTGGTTGAAAAGGAATACTCACATCTTTAAGCAGAAAAAAGAAATCTGCGGAGGCAGTGTTAACTCATCTGCAGACCTTTTGTGATCTTGGCTGGCTAATCAATCCTGTTTTTAGGGATACCCCTAAACAGGATATCCTTGTTTTTTTTTATTATTTTTAAGTCTTATCTTTTTGGCCTAATATTATTTACTGTACAAATCTTTGTTGAGAATGGTCGGCAGATGGGTAGGTATGTTTATCCCTGTTTAGTACTTATGTTTCTCTTCTTTTTCAGTCTTTTTCAGTGTTGGACATGGGCAATGAAATCTTTTATTATTGTAACTTAAAGAAGGGTGGATTAAACAGGGGTGCTGATGTAATTTTGATATAGAATATGAGTTTAATATAAATAACACCCTACTCAACTGGGAGATCATTCCTCTCTCTCCAATTAGGCTTTGGTGTTTTCTCTCAAAACCTGCTACTTCTTCTATTCTACTCAACCTAGATGCACAACCTGTTTCTGCACATGGTATAGAGAAGGTTAGCAAGTTAGCATCTTTGTTTGATTTACAGCCTCCTATATTCTCTTCTTTTCTTTCTCTTGGAGAGACCAAGAAGGTTTTTCTGGTCTGGCCAAGCATCCTTTTTACTTCCATGTCTTCCTTCTCTATTGTGACTATCATTGTGAATTGAGGTGAACCCTCTACCTGGCTGAAACCGAGAGGAATTGAAAGGTGATCTGTTGGTGGAAGAATGAAGATAAGGCTGCTGTTTGTGTGTGAAATGGCTTATAGTGACGAAAATTGAATTCATGGAAGTGATCGTACTCTTCTTGTTGATAACTAGTGATGTCTAATAGCTTTGGGTGGAAGCTATTAATAAAAGGAGCTGCAGCTTCGAACAGGTGAGTAGTTTTGATTTGTTCTTACTGAAACTGGGTTTTTAATAACCATTGTGAGTGTGTGATTGTGAAGTAATGGGAGCACCAGATTTTTATTCCTTTGTGAGTGGTTTATTTGTGAAAAGAAGTGTGTGCAGTGAATTCTAAGGCTGCTGTAATGATGTCACTGATTTCTCACTCATTCAAATGACTTCAATTGAACTCAATGGAAGTAATTGTGCTATTCAGGGAAATTCAGTTGAAGTGTTCTTGACTACAAAAGGAAAAGTCAAGTATTTAACTGGAAAAAAAAAACTGAATCTGGTACATCTACATCTTTTGGTTGGGTGTTAAGAAGATGCACAGATTAAGACTTGGCTATGGAACTCGATGCAACCTAAAATCAGCAGTGGGATGATTTTCCATTAAGTAGGTCTACTATTTCCCATGTCTGATTCTTAATCAAGGCTTCTATCTCATCTTTCATAGGCTCATAGATTCTTTCTTCTCTGGTCTAGATAGAGCTTTTGACACATTTGTGCAAATAGATTTAAGAAAGCATAAGCAACAAAAAATCTAAATGAGACAACGTATCATAAGAAAGATATTAGGAAATATAGTGGGTGGTAAGAGAATGGCATTTACTTTTTCTTAAGACAATAGACAAATCAAGATTAGAAAACTCAAAATGATGGCTACTTGAATCTAGATTCCTTGATATAACTGGTTGTGGAGGAGATTCTGCAGTCAACATGGGAACAACCTTTTTCCTTCTCTAGTAAACTTGCAGTTCTTTCTAAGGAACAAACTCAGCAAAAGTAGCATCAGAAAATACAACCCTACACCAGTGACAGGATCCCCAGCTGCGCAGGTGGACACTGTACCTGAACCTGAACCATCTGGGGTTGTCTTTGGAGGAATCGATGAAATCCAAATTCAAGATCAGGGAGTCTCTTCCCCCCTTCCTCTCAATCTAGTTCTTTCTTCACCCCCACTTTTCTGTCAAAACTCGTTTGATTTTGATCCTTGTAGTAATCTTCAGCCTTTGGATTTTGCAGTTCCAGCTGTTGAAACGTCACCGGTGGTGGATAATGACCCATGTGCTGTAGAGAACACTGATGTGGACCCCACTGCTGTGGTCCCCACTGTGTTCATATGGCAGCATATTTTTGTTAGTTTATTTTTTGTTAGTTATGTCAGTACTAGTTGGTAGTTTATTTGCCATGTAAGCAATAAGGGCAATTCAGCCCTTTTACAATTAGTCAACATATATAAATATTAAGAGTGGGTCGGCAGATCAACTGATCAACCCTCTCTCTCTTTTCAAAATCTCTTTGTGTGCTTCTTCTCTTTTCTCTCTCTCTTCTTCTTTTCTGAAATTTCTTCTTTCTTTTCTTTTGAATTCAAGACTGGTTGTAGTCTTGATCGACTACTTGGTATCAGAGCTGACCTAGGAGCTTTATGTTAGTCTAATTAGATTGACTACATGAGAATCCCCTAGGTTTAGAAGTTTTTCAACAAAGAAGGAGGATTGGCTGATTCTTGGAGGTTACTGTTCCTCAAGTGGTTCCAAAGTCGGTTTGCTATGGAAACCCATCTCCACAAAACTGCCACCCTGTCTTTGTTCTTGATTTGTATCTATTTTCTTCTCTCTCTGAGAATCTCCTTTAGGCCTTCCACTTTCTGCAGTAAGGTTACCAGCCCCTGAATCCTGTATCTCCAGAATCTCCGTACCAGCATCTTCAGAGAAGAGCAGTTCAGTTCTGAAAGCTTCAGAGTCTAAAAGTTTGCAGGTCTTTTTCGAATTGATGCTACCAATACTTGACAACAGATCACCCTCCTTAGCATTATCTTATTAGAATATCTTAGTACAAGTATTAAACTAGGTAAGACCATCAAATGAATCCTATGAATCAAAGAAGGAACTTCATCTTTGGATTTCATTAACTATAGCCATGAGAAATGAGATAACCATCAATAAACAACAAAAAATATCCATACCCACCCATACTAGGCACAACCCACACATCAAAATAAACAATATTAAAAAGAAAAGTAAATCTTTTATTACTTAAAATTACTGAATTTTTACAATGCTTAGCCAACTGACAACTCTCATATTGCAAACTTGATAATTGAACAGAAGGAAATAAATGACACAAATGATAGAAAGATAGATGACCCAAAAGAACATGCCAAAACAGGGATTGCTTCAAGGGAAAATCCAACCTTCTGAAACAGAGATTAAGAGAATAAGAGATAGGAGGAAGAGAGGAGAGGAGAGGGAGAGGGAGGGAGGATGAGGAGGGAAAATTCAAGTGATAACTTCCTTGATTTCATTCCCACTTTGGATGCCTTATATAGGCTACAATATCAATCAATCAACATATAGCAGAAAGTTACATGCCCAGTACAAATGTTAGTTCAGTGTATGTTTGAGGGCATGGAATGAAGTGGCACAATCTTCTAAAGAAAAGGTAAAGGTGGTTATGGAGTGAAAACCCCCAACAGCTAACAGAATTAAGTTAAATTTTGATGGAAGCTCCACGGGAAGTTCCAGTTTGACAGGTATTGGAGGTGTCTTTAGTGATGCTGCAGGCAGGGTGTTTGCCATGTTTTCAGGACCTTTAGGATTGGGAAACTCATTAAAGGCTGAACTGATAGCATTGCTGCAAGGTTTAGGACTTAAAAAGCAATCAAATTTCTAACATTTGGAAGTAGAAGGAGATTTAAAACTGGTTGTTTCTTGGGTCGGGAGTAAGCATCAAGTGCCATGCACCTATAGGCATGCTTTTAGGGAAATAGGGAACCTGTGACCTTCAGTTGGGTTAGAAGGACTGCAAATGAGATGGCTGGTACTTTAGCAAAATAAGGGGTCTATAGACAGAAAATGCCTTGGGCACTATTGTAAGCATTATTGGAGTTGGCTAATGTCTTTTGGGGGGGCTGAAACCATTGTTGCACTATTCAGTTTTCTCCAATTAATATAATTAATAAGATTTTTTTTTTGATAAAAAAAAAAACAACTCCCCTCCCCTTGACACCAACCTTTCCCCCAAGGTTGAAAGATGGGAACTGTTGCTGCAAATAGTCAACCAGTTCTCACGTAGCATCCTCTGGAGCTAGCTTACACCATTGTACTAATGCTTCAATAATGACACAAGAACCACACCTCAGATCCATCGCCAACCAATGACTCTCTCGGGCTCAATTTGTAGCACCCCCTCATTGGAAAAGTCAAGAACTGGGCTTGATATCATATCACCCCCTCATTGGATAAGTCATTCATTAGCTGAAGATGGTGTTAAGTTTGGTGGTGGTCCCAACACAAATGGCCTTTATTCAAGGAAGGCAAATATTGGATTGGGTGGTGATTGCTAGTGGATGTGTGGATTCAAGATTAAGGAGTGGTGCTCTAGGGGTGATTTGTAAAATTGATATAGAGAAGGCTTATGACCATGTGGAGTGGGGCTTTTAGAAGAGGTGATGAATTTAATGGATTTTGGGGAGAAATGGAGAAGCTGGTGTTTGTAAGTGTTTCCTCGGTGTCTTTATCAATGTTAGTTAATGGTATGACTTGAAATATACCTGTATCAGTCCTAGGTTTAGTTCAAAATCTGTTCAAGAAAAGAAAAGAAAAGGAACAGAAGAAGAAGAAAAGAGAGCAGAATGAATTGGTTCTGCTGGCCCCCTCATTGGCTTTTATATTTACTTAATAAAAAGTGATACAATGACAAAAATACCCCTGTCAACAATGACAGAGAGAAAAACAAGAACAGCAGTCTGAAACAATTACAAATAAAGACGGGGAGCATATTTCTCCACATAAAACACATATAAAAAAACAACTAAGTATCCTTGTCTACATCTCTACATTCCCCCCTCAAGTTGGCAATAGATATTGAGCATTCCCAACTTGCATAAATCTGTCTCCAACCTGACTTTAGTGAATGCCTTGGTGAAGAGATCAGCAAGCTGCATATCAAAGGCAATATATGGCAAGCACACTTCTTGGGAGGCTACTCTCTCCCTAATAAAATGTCGATCCACCTCAATATGTTTCATCCTGTCATGCTGTATTGGGTTATGGGCAATATTAATAACAGCTTGATTGTCACATTATAGCATCAAGGGCTTTTCATGCTCAATTCCAAGTTCTTCAAGTAAAGATCTCAGCCATAGAACTTCTGCCACTCCATGAGCCATAGTTCTATATTCTGATTCAGCACTTGAACGAGCCACTACATTTTGTTTCTTACTTCTCCATGAAACCAGATTTCCTCCGACAAAGGCACAATACCCAAGGGTAGACCTCCTGTCATTTACACATTTAGCCCAATCCGCATCAGTGTACACCTCAATCAACATCAGTATACACCAGCTCCCATGTCTCATTTTTAATGAATGCATTCATTTCCTCCTTCATAGCATCCTTCCACTTAGACACCGAGAGAGCTTCCTGCACAGTTTTAGGAATGGATGTAGCAGAAATGGATGCCAAATATGATTTATAGGATGGTGAAAAGTGGTCATATGTTTGAAACTGAGATATGCAGTGAGCAGTGGATGTGTTTCATCTCTGTTTCCCTTTACGAACTGCAATGGGAAAGTCAAGATCATTGGTAGAAGGCAATGGCTTCGTGATGGTAGTCTTAGGAGTAGAAGGTGAAGCTATAGTATCTGGATCAGGTGCTGCAAAAGGAACTGGAACTGGCTTGGGCTGATCAAGAGCACCAAAATCAACTCGCCTCCACCTCCAATGGAAAACCCTCAACTCCTTACATTTTTTACCATGATCCTCTTGGCACAATTCCTTTTCAAGAACAGGGATAGGAAGGGGAACTTCAAGAACAAACACATCTATCTCATCTCTCTCCCCTTGAGATGAAATTCCCGGATAATAAGGAACATCCTCAAAAGTGGTAACATCCATAGACACAAACTGAGAGCCAGAAATTGGGTCATAACAGCAATATCCCTTTTGATTTTGTGCATTGTGAATAAACCCTAGYTGATTCTAGGTCAAAGTAGAGAAGAAGGAAGAAGAAAGAAAAGAGAAAGAAGGAGAAGAATGTTCGGCCAGACTAGAAGAGAGAATATAAAAAAATC